TCAAAAATGAAACAACATTACTTTCGGGACAACCTAATATGTTTGATAGGTTTTTCTTTAACGTTGGCAAAGATGTTGTTTTTGAGTTTGCTTATTGGATATGAGACTATCCCAAACAATATCATAGGCTTACCCTGCCAATCGTAAACAATGTGTTAGGCTATCAGCGAGCTAGCTGCTTATACATAGACGTCTTCTTGGAGAGAAGTGAACATCCATCGTTGAGTCGATTCCACTTGGGATCGACTCAACGATGGGTGTTCACTTCTCTCCACAAAGACGTCTATGTAAAGATTAGTTAGAAGAAGTTTCGATTGCGGGCTACATTGTCTGTTCACCTAATCAAAGATTTTATTCAGTGTCCGCCTCCTTGATAAGATCATGCTGCAGCTTTCCAAAAAATCTGACCATCACCGCGCCTTCAGCAAGAAGCTCCTAGCATTGTTTGAATGTAAGTTTTGACATAACTCCCAGTCTTGGACTGATATGTGCGCCTGACACATTTTCTAACTCTTGTTCTGTGGCTTTAGCGTCACCGCTAGCGCAAGAAACAAGGGATGAAGCTTTCCAAGCCGTACTAGCCGATAATGAACGACTTACGGAGGAAAATAGCCGTTTACAAAGGGAAACAAATCGAGCGCAGCAGAAATATTCCAAATCTAGTCTAAAGGTACCCTTTTGACAAATGTCATTAGTTTCTGCTAAATTAAACATTGTTATAGTTGAAAGAGTGTGAGGATCAAATAACAATGCTGACCACCCGCAACGAGGAGCTTGAAAGAGAGCTAGAAGAGGCAAAGTTCGATCTGGACAAAGCTCAACGTCAGGCGAATAAGCTCGATTACAAGCTGTACACGCTTGCAAAGGTGGGAAACTTTTTTACTTCAATTTACAACTACTCAATAGGCATTGAGCCCACAGAAGTTGGTATTGTCAGTTAGAATCTCGGCTTTGATGAGTTTTTGTAACATTGTTGCTTTGCAAATTCTGAAAGTGCGAATGAATGCAATACAATGCGACAGGTGCAGCTTGTCCGTTTATGGATGAACTTTGATTTTAATCTATCATTGCTGGTCAATTCTCCATATAAGAGGAGTGTCACTTCAGATACTTTAGTTTCCTCTCAGGTTTTGATATATCTTTTGTATCTGGAGAAGATATCGAACTCTTGATCAGCTCTAGTACATTTTACGGTAATCGCAAAGCGTTTTTGTTTGTTTGAATGTCTCTGTTAGAGAAATAGCTATCAGCATCAAAAGCAGCGCCCAGGCAAATCTGGACATGTGGGGCCTTTACGTGGAAAATAATCCTAGAACCCCAACTAAGACACTGCCTAAGCGGCAGCTCAGATGGTGCACT